TTAATCTGTACCTCCTAATAAGGTAAACTATGAACATATACATGTGTGTCTGGACAACACTGGGGCTTCCCTTGTGGGTTCCCGTGTCTCATGTTAGACAATGGGAACAAGCGAAGGGAACCCACGACCTATGACAAGCACGTCTTTGTTTTCCTTCAACGATATAACATACAAGCCTTGGCTGCTCTCTACAATAAACGACAATTACTTGGTTAATATGAATTTCTGTGTTGTAATTTCAATAGCCTGAAAAGAATAATGTCCGTATTTTATAGCTGTAGACTCAAACCGCATGCCAGTCATGGCTTACGATGAGACTTTTTGGGGATGGGGGTGTCTAGCTTGGAGGTGACAGGTTCGAATCCCGGCGAGGTAACTAAAGCTTCCGCGTTTTGTTTTTTTTACGTTGTGGCGTGCATCCTCCTATTTTCTTCTGTCTTTGAGTGCTGATCAATATATGTCGATTTGTTTACCATACTGTTAATTTCTGACACATTTATCAGGAAACAGCCCTCTTCCCCTTTCAACTAACGACTGAGCCACAATACAAAGGTCCAGTATCAGCCACACTTACATCACGACTCGTCGCACCCATCTCCACAAAAAGTCAGCAATCTGGCCTTTCCCCTAAACCTGACATCAAATCAAACTTCCCCACACAGAGAAAACATCCAGATCCGACGTCAGTCAACCCCAAAACCTTTGATCTTTCGGTGCCAATTGACCTTCCCGCCGTCCCTGCTCTGCGCCCGTGCACACATCACACAACAGCCCACAATGCACGGTAAACACAACGATAACACACAGCACGAGACGAGCCCGACTCGGGTAGATTGCCCAGAGCAAACGCCAGACCTTGGAACTCACAAGGTCTGGGACTGAGGGCTGAGTAAACTGGACGAGCTTGTTAGCGATGATTGACACACCCGAGCAAATTAGCTGGGAGGACGAAGGACTTGACTTTCTCTAGTTCTGGTGGTATTTACTTACTCAGGAATCATGTGATACAACCCTTAGTTTCCAGTAAAACCAACTCACACTAGATTACAGGTTACCACGTGACTGTTTTGTGAGGCCCCCCAATATGACTGTGCTATACGACTGTACGGTTGAACGGGAATTTCCGGTAGTTATACCTGTTTTTTTTTTTTTTTTAAACAACGGATCAACATCATGGCACAGGGGTGTAATCCATAAGTGCTCCGTTCTTCTTTTAACTTAAGTCTGAGTCCGAAGAAGCTGAACACAGTGCACAGGCTCTGTAGCACCAGCGAGGATCCTAAAATACTTTGGGTAGATTTTTAACTTAAAAATTTGCCCGGGCAAGGCCGTTAGGCTACTCTTGTCGATTTTTCCAACTGGCAAGGGATTTTTTACGTAGGCAACAATGCACACGGGCGTCCGATCTCACTACCCAGAGACCAGGGGGAATTACTAGAAGTCCAAGTCCACGTGAAAAGTCCCAACCCTTACTGAGGATTGACCCCGGAACCTTTAGCAGTCGAGGCGGACACCATACCTGGAGACCACGCAGCGCCCAACCTGTTAAATTCTGATTCACGAGATGGTTATCACAGAGAGTACAATCATGGAGATAAATATGTATAAAATAAAATTATTATTAGATAAGACCCCACCACCCCCCCCCCACACCCACCCCCCCCCCCAGCTGCTGCCTGAAGGTCTAACAACCGACAGTTTAACAATTTCATCTTAGATGTAGATCAACAGGGCGAATTCCAGATACCCTGTTGAACACACAAAAGAGAAGCTTTAATGTGGAAGCCACAACGGCTATCACCCTCCTCCTCATCATCATGTGCCGTGCCGGTAAGCGTCATGTTTTTCCCCCATCTCAGACGATCACCAGAATCAGGGATCAGTTCAATGTTTGGTTTTTCTCTCGCCACAGTCATCTGGCCAGCCCGTCCAGTTTTAAAAAAAAATCTATTTGCCATCCTCTTGGTTCTCTTTCTATCAACGGCTAGACCAGACTGGAATGACAGGCAGCCCTGTGGGTATAAGGATGACTGCAACAGTCTGACAGACACGGGCGCTCTATAGATGGGTAGTAGTCCAGTTATGTCCATTTGAGGTCCCCGAGGCCGTATGGGTTACATTTGTGTGGTCATGGTGTGGTCATGAGGGCCGTATGGGTTACATTTGTGTGGTCATGGTGTGGTCATGAGGGCCGTATGGGTTACATTTGTGTGGTCATGAGGGTCGTATGGGTTACATCTGTGTGGTCATGAGGGCCGAATGGGTTACATTTGTGTGGTCATGAGGGCCGTATGGGTTACATCTGTGTGGTCATGAGGGCCGTATGGGTTACATCTGTGTGGTCATAAGGGCCGTATGGGTTACATCTGTGTGGTTATGAGGGCCGTATGGGTTACATTTGTGTGGTCATGAGGGCCGTATGGGTTACATCTGTGTGGTCATGAGGGCCGTATGGGTTACATTTGTGTGGTCATGAGGGCCGTATAGGTTACATTTGTGTGGTCATGAGGGCCGTATGGGTTACATTTGTGTGGTCATGAGGGCCGTATGGGTTACATCTGTGTGGTCATGAGGGCCGTATGGGTTACATCTGTGTGGTCATGAGGGCCGTATGGGTTACATCTGTGTGGTCATGAGGGCCGTATGGGTTACATCTGTGTGGTCATGAGGGCCGTATGGGTTACATTTGTGTGGTCATGAGGGCCGTATGGGTTACATTTGTGTGGTCATGAGGGCTGTATGGGTTACATTTGTGTGGTCATGAGGGCCGTATGGGTTACATCTGTGTGGTAACGAGGGCCGTATGGGTTACATCTGTGTGGTCATGGTGTGGTCATGAGGGTCGTATGGGTTACATTTGTGTGGTCATGGTGTGGTCATGAGGGCCGTATGGGTTACATTTGTGTGGTCACGAGGGCCGTAAACGACGACTAAATGAAGTCATTTAATATGCGACTTATGTTTATGGACCTTCGCGCGGGCCGCAGATGTGCTTGTAAAGGGCCGCAGATGTGCTTGTAAAGGGCCGCATATTTGGCATGCCAGCTATAGACTTCTTTAGAACCTACGGGGGATAACTCAAACTCATCAATCAACCAGGTGCCGTCTCCGCAATGAAGACTGGCTGCAATGGATTCTCAACAGGGGAGAGGAAGGCCCAAAAACCACGAAACCGTTGCTAAAAAGTAAGTAAAACCAGTGGCGAATGGAGCACATGGTGCTGGCTCACATTTGTATAGACCAATCAGCACTTAGAGAAGGAAAGAACTCGGGGTGAGTTGGTTGAGAGCCTATGCTCCAATGCGGGTTAGAAAGACAGAAGGACGAAAAAGAATCGGCACTCGGTGGGTGACGTGATGAACACAACCCCGACCGCCTTTACTTCCCGGCACATTACCTGGTACCCATCTTTCTACCGTTTCGTCATAAAGCTCAAGAGTTGCACCTTTCATTGCCACCCATTTATGAACACTCCGAAATTCGCTACTTTTTTCCCTTTTTTTTTTTTACAAAGATGCCTTCTGCCACCGTAATGAATAATTAATTTATAACTAATTAATTAATAATGAACAGTCTCTAAACAGGCGGTAGAGAACAGGGGCGGGGTATGGCAGCACAAGGCAAGAGTTAAGGGGCGGGGTGTGGCAGCATAAGGCAAGAGTTAAGGGGCGGGGTGTGGCAGCACAAGGCAAGAGTTAAGGGGCGGGGTGTGGCAGCATAAGGCAAGAGTTAAGGGGCGGGGTGTGGCAGCACAAGGCAAGAGTTAAGGGGCGGGGTGTGGCAGCATAAGGCAAGAGTTAGGGGGCGGGGTGTGGCAGCACAAGGCAAGAGTTAAGGGGCGGGGTGTGGCAGCACAAGGCAAGAGTTAAGGGGCGGGGTGTGGCAGCATAAGGCAAGAGTTAAGGGGCGGGGTGTGGCAGCACAAGGCAAGAGTTAAGGGGCGGGATGTGGCAGCATAAGGCAAGAGTTAAGGGGCGGGGTGTGGCAGCATAAGGAAAGAGTTAAGGGGCGGGGTGTGGCAGCACAAGGCAAGAGTTAAGGGGCGGGGTGTGGCAGCATAAAGCAAGAGTTAAGGGGCGGGGTGTGGCAGCACAAAGGCAAGAGTTAAGGGGCGGGGTGTGGCAGCATAAGGCAAGAGTTAAGGGGCGGGGGTGTGGCAGCACAAGACAAGAGTTAAGGGGCGGGGTGTGGCAGCACAAGGCAAGAGTTAAGGGGCGGGGTGTGGCAGCATAAGGCAAGAGTTTAAGGGGCGGGGTGTGGCAGCACAAGGCAAGAGTTAAGGGGCGGGGTGTGGCAGCATAAGGCAAGAGTTAAGGGGCGGGGTGTGGCAGCACAAGGCAAGAGTTAAGGGGCGGGGTGTGGCCGCATAAGGCAAGAGTTAAGAATGAAAACACGCACGCTAACAGTAGACGAATCTCCTATGGGGTAAAACGGAAGGGGGGGGGGAAGGGGCTGGGGGTGGGGGGGGGGGGCGCATAATGTTACTGTCATCATGTGTCCTGTTGTTTGAAAGCGCAATGTCGGCAAAGTGAAAGCGATAAACTATGCATGCCTATATAGAAATCGGTTAACGGGAAGATAAGAAGGAAAAAAGAGATAAATACAGAAAGAAAGAAAGAAAGAAAGAAAGAAAGAAAGAAAGAAAGAAAGCAAGAAAGAAAGAAAGAAAGAAAGAAAGAAAGAAAGAAAGAAAGAAAGAAAGAAAGAAAGAAAGAAAGAATGAAAGAAAGAAAGAAAGACAAATAGATAGTGCAAGAAAGAACAAGACAATGAATGTCACTAACCATCATGTGCTCTGTTGTTTGAGACAAACAATATCGGCAAAGTAAAAGGGATGACGGGAAGATAAGAAGAGGGGAAAAAGAGATAAAGAAAGAAAGACAAATACATAGTGCAAGAAAGAAAAATAAAATGAAGACAGAAAAGATCTTCCAAGAAAAAAATAATGCAAGAAAGAAAGATAGTCGGGGGACAGGGAAAGAAGAATGAGATAATGCAAGACAGAAAAACGGACACTGTAAATACTGTGAGAAAACCAACATGTGGACTGCACGTGCTAGCTTCAATTTTTGCACCCTGGCTACGGAAGGGGGGGGGGGGGAGGGGTGCGCTGTTTCACGGCACGTCGCGGTTGGGCTGGGGCTATTGGGAGCGGGGTGGGGTCATAGAGTGGAGCGGAGGGGGGAGTCACAGAGTGGGGGGGGGGGGGAGGACAAGATATGGGAGGCCGTGGTAGGCTTGTACACAAGCGATGTTAGGAGGGTCACCGACAGTGGGGGGGGGGGGGTGGGTGGAAAGGGTCGAACAATTGGAAGTGTGAAAGGGCCAGAGGAGGCAGGAAGGCAGGCAAACAGACAGACAAGATAGATAATTAGATAAATAATTAAATTGATAGACAAACACACAGAAGACAGACAGACAGACAGACAGACAGACAGACAGACAGACAGACAGACAGACAGACAGACAGACAGACAGACAGACAGACAGACAGACAGACAGACAGACAGACAGACAGACAGAGAGGGATAGACAGACAGACAGACAGACAGACAGACAGACAGACAGACAGACAGACAGACAGACAGACAGACAGACAGACAGACAGACAGACAGACAGACAGACAGACAGACAGAGAGAGAGAGAGAGAGAGAGAGAGAGAGAGAGAGAGAGAGAGAGAGAGAGAGATAGATAGATAGATAGATAGATAGATAGATAGATAGATAGATAGATAGATAGATAGATAGATAGATAGATAGATAGATAGATAGATAGATAGATAGATAGATAGATAGATAGATAGATAGATAGATAGATAGATAGATAGATAGATAGATAGATAGATAGATAGATAGATAGATAGATAGATTACCCAGTACCGGTTGCACGCACGAACAAATACAGCAAAAGGACGGAAAAGATGAGTGGAAGAAGTCGCCCAGTAAAAACGGATACTTTCGCTGGCAGCAGCAACAATAAGAGCAGAAGCCCTGGTAGTAATAACAGCGATGACAATATCAACAATAACAACATGGCAGCAACAGCAGCGTGGCAGCAACAGCAGCGTGCCAGCAACGGCGGAAATTACAGCCCTACTGTCTCCATTGTTTCCCCGGCGCGTGTCGCCATGGTGACTACGCATGACGGGAAGGCCGCCCGGCCGTGAGTCAAGCCTGGGCTCTCTACTCACCTGGAACACACCTGGGGACTGACGATGTGTGGATGGATGTTCGTGCAGACGTGCGCCAGCGCAGAATGTATTCACACTAGATGTCGTGGAGGGGGGAGGCAGAGGGGGGGACAAGGGGCAAGGAGAAGGCAGTCGTGGATAGGCCAGGTGGGACTGGTCAAAGTTTGTGTATGTATGTGGAGCTGGCGGCAACCTACGCAGAATCTTCTAGATTTTACAAATTGCCAACAACATCCGGAGAGTTGGTTGAAGATAAAAATATATCTTCTTCTGAGTTCACCCTAAAAGGGTGGTTGGCACGTCGTGTTGTGGTTTACAGCAAGGCTGCCTTTCGGTCAAACGCATTTGATTTCAGAAAACCCCCTCATTATTCGCCCTATACGACACGTTGGCATGGGGCCTGGGTCTATTTTATATTTCTTATATAACCCATTCAAAAAAGGGAAAGTGGGTAGGAGGTAAAATACTGACATGGAAGGGGTTAATTACTGTCTTGCATGGAAAGGCTGATTACTAACATAGGAGGATTTAATCCTGTCAGGGGAGGGTAGACTGCTGGCAAGGGCACAGAAGGGTTAAATACTGACACTGGAGGGTTACATACCTACACTGCAGGGTTAAATACCCAAATGGGCGGGGTCTAGCACTGACATGAAATGGGTTAAATACTGACATAGATTAGAATATACAATACTGACTGATGGTCAAAGACGGCCACGTTTACATCTGTTACTGTAAGGTTAAACAATGACGAACATTGTTAAACAAAAGCACAGATCCAATGCCCTTCACGTTTATTTCGTTTTACTTTACAGAACAGCCCAGAACCAATCTCAGATTTTGTCTGTATGTCTGTCTGTGATTTTACTGTGCAACTTCACGTTCAGGAGTTTGTCATCGACAATGAACGGCTGGCGCTCCGTAATACTGAGGCAATATCGCAGAGCGGTTTGCTGCCACATTGACTGAGGTTTAGCTGAAGTCGGATGTTTTGGTCACAAAGGCCATACAACACAACCTAGCTGTATACCGCAACACGACGTGACAATTGCCATTTTAAAGGTGAATGCAGAAGAAGGAGGAGGAGGAAAAAGAAGAAGAAGAAGAAGAAGAAGAAGAAGAAGAAGAAGAAGAAGAAGAAGAAGAAGAAGAAGAAGAAGAAGAAGAAGAAGAAGAAGAAGAAACTGTGATAACAGCAAATAAACAAAACCAAAAGAGAGACATGGAGAGAGATACGGTTCAAAAGGACGGGGCGGAGAGATGGGAAAGACAGAAAGAAAGAGACAAGAAGAGACGGGAAAGAGACAGACAAACAGAAAAAAAAAAAAAAAAAGAAGACAAGGAAAAAGACTTGGCAAGAAAAAGAAAACTCCAGGCAATCAATCATCATCAGCAAGAAGTCGACAGACTAGCAAAACGAAACACGTCACCAAAGAACAAGTTTGGACAACCATGGTGTCATTCAGCCGGAGGATGACAGTATCAGTAGGAAAGCGAAGACAACCAGCAGCGACAGAAGAAGAAAATAGTAAAACAGACAGATAAAATATACAGCAGACAAAGTTGTGAATCCCATGGGTGGAGAGTTGATTAGGAATATTGGTCTTGATGCCCCTGCAGCGGCCGCGAAGCTGGAGACACATTCCAGTTCTGTAACAAGATGCACGAGAGGGTTGGAGGTTTACGCTCTGCCAGACAATACAGACAGACACGACAGATATGTCCAACAGTTACAGTGATTTACAGACAGAGATTAAGGTTTAAAAAAGACCGATAGATAGACAAAACAGGACTTTCGAAAACTGTATACATTTGCTGACAGACACTAGAACATATAAGTGTATAAGACAGACTGATGAATAGCTAAAGAGAAAGATGAAGTGAAACATAAATAGACAGACACATGGGTTCGTGCAGGAGGAGAAGAAAGAAGAGGACATGAAGGCAAAACAGGACTCCATTACTGGCTACATCTGAATCACCACGCCATTCCGACACTCCCCCAGTTCTGCTCACTCACTACTTCTGCCCACTGCTGTTCTACAAAACCAGACGTTCTGTTTGCTCATTCAAACACTACCCCAGTTTTATTCTTCGCTCGCTTCTTCGGTCAATCTTCCCAAACAGGAGACGGGGAAAATTAGAGCAGTGATGGTCCTCTATCGTTGTAGATTTTGTTTCAAGACAGAAGTACTTAGTCTTAAGTTGTTGGAATGATGGTGGGGGGGGGGGGGGGGGGGGAGAGAAGATAATGAGAGAGAAGTGGGGACCAAAAAAGAGAACAGAGTTGTAATTTGAAAAAAAAAAAAAAAAACAGAGTGTAAGTAAAGTAAAGAAAGATTAAAAGAGGATTGAAAGATTACATTAGACGTAAGAAGGTAGTGGGAAATAGAGGCGAAGGAAGAAAACACGCTAAATTGAAATGGGGGGGGGGGAATGGGACAAGGTGAAGAGACTACTGGCGCAAATAATATAATTTTCTCTTCTACTGCACTATCTACTATGAAAATTATTTTCTACTGAACTATCTACTATGAATATTCTTTTCTGCGGAACTTCCTACTATGAATATTCTTTTCTGCTGAACTATCTAATATGACTATTCTTTTCTGCTGCACTATCTACTAAGAATAGTCTTTTTTTTTTTTTGCTGAACTATCTACTATGAATATTCTGTTCTGCTGAACTATCTACTAATAATATTCTGTTCTGCTGAACTATCTACTATGAACTGAAGGGTGCCGTCGTAAGACGACATTCGGGGAGCGAGACAAACGGCTCGACTACTTTGCCGGGAAGAGCACTTAAAAACTTCAAGCTGATAGAACGTAAATGAGTTACTCTTATGTCAGCCATTAGTCAAGTAAGTACAGGAGACCGTAAATGAGTTACTCTTATGTCAGCCATTAGTCAAGTAAGTACAGGAGAACGTAAATGAGTTACTCTTATGTCAGCCATTAGTCAAGTAAGTACAGGAGAACGTAAATGAGTTACTCTTATGTCAGCCATTAGTCAAGTAAGTACAGGAGACAGTAAATGAGTTACACTTATGTCAGCCATTAGTTAAGTAAGTACAGGAGAACGTAAATGAGTTACTTTTATGTTAGCCATTAGTCAAGTAAGTACAGGAGATGGTAAATGTGTTACTCTTATGTCAGCCATTAGTCAAGTAAGTACAGGAGATGGTAAATGTGTTACTCTTATGTCAGCCATTAGTCAAGTAAGTACAGGAGATGGTAAATGTGTTACTCTTATGTCAGCCATTAGTCAAGTAAGTACAGGAGATGGTAAATGTGTTACTCTTATGTCAGCCATTAGTCAAGTAAGTAAAGGACGCTGTGTACTCCAGGGAAGCCTCGCGTATATGATGCTAAGCTCATTATATTCAGCCATGAGCACTCGATGGACGACTTCATCAACATCGCGCCGGGCGAATTTATTTCCCGGAATATTACCTGATACCCATTTTAGGCTAGGTCGACGTAAAAGCCAAGGTCACTATTGAAAAAATGGAAAAACAATTCTTGATGTGGATTCAAGCCTAAGATCTTCGCAAGGACAGGCGAGCATCTATCCGCCACACCACGCCCGGGTCTCTAGCATAGTTGGTTAAACCTTACTTTCGCGGCGGTCGGGTGACGAACTCCTTGTGGTCCGGGTTCACTCTCAGCCACATTTCTTCCAGATTAACGGTACCTATCAAGGCCGAAGGGTTGCGATATCCATAGTACCGAGCCAAAGGGTTTACAACTCATAGTTTCTGGATACTTTAAAAAAAAAATCCGCCACACGATCACGGCCACGAGGTCAGTCATTATTGGCGGTTTACCCACTTTTTCACCTTACTCCAATAAACACACACACAACCTCACACTTCGCACCGACAGACGAGCATCTATCCGCTACACTACCACGGCCACCAGGTCAGGCATTATTAGCGGTATTTCCTACCTTTTCACTTTACTCCAACACACACACAGTCACACACACATAACCTCAACTGGGGGCCATCACAAATGAAGGCTTCGCAGCTGGGGCCCCGAGTCCCTTGTTGAAATCTATGGAATATTGTATCCAAAACATAGTATTAGTATTAACTGGGTCTTGTATTGACACTTATGTGTGTGCTTCAATATATGAAGCATTATGTTGACAACCTATGAGGTTCACACCGAA